AACCCCAAGCCCTAAAACCCTAGAGTCGTAAACCCCAAACCCTAAAACCCTAAATCCCTAGAGCCCTAAACGGTGCCTTAGGGTCGCACTCGCTTGTCGTAGACTCGAACCTTTAAGTTCTTGAATATCAAGACCATTCTAGTAGGTTTTAGGGTTTAGGGGTTCGGTTTTAGGGTTTACAAAGCTTTGGGGCGTAGGGTTTAGGGCTTCGGGTTTAGGCTTTAGGGCTTCGGGTTTAGGGTTTAGGGTGTACGGTGTAGGGCTTCGGGTTTAGGGTTTAGGGTTTAGGGAATCACCCATACTATTCTGGGGGGGTTCCTTATCATAATTGTAGTATGATGGGCCCCGAAACCCTAGTCTAATGATTAAGGCCCCGATATTATCTGCGTCCCAGAGTCTGTAAGACTAGTTGTCCGCGTTCAGGCAATTGGGTATAGGGTTTGGGCTGTAGGGGGCTGAGACGGCTGAGAGGGCATCTGCAGGAGCAGTTTGCCAAAGAAGCCCTAAACCCTAAACCCAAAACCCCAAACCCTAAACCCCTGAACCCTGAACCCTAAACCCTGAGCAGTTTGCACCGGCTCGCCTCGTGGCAGAGCCAAGGTCCAAGCGGAAGTGTGTGCCCGCGCCTGACGGGTGATCGCCGGTTCAGGGTTTAGGGTTTAAGGTGATCGCCAACTTGTGTGACAGATACGAACAAAATCCTGATAGTAAGTACAGTAATGACTCGCACAATAGAACAAGCAAGCGGCAGGTGGTAGTAATCATAGCCAGGTAGGACAAAAGGAAATGGCAAGAACAGTAGTGGTCACTGAAGAGTACGATGCATGTACATCTTCTGTTCATGCAACTAATTTTCATGCTCCAGTACAACCATGATTCCAAGCTGTCCCGTTGCCTAAACCCTACAATCGAAACCCTAAACCCTAAACCCTAATGTATCAGGACAAAGGAGTGCAACGAAATACCCTGGAAGCGTGGCAGGGCACTAGGAAGCTGCAGAATTCGGTTCTAGGTGAATGTCAGTCAGTTGTAGCGACCCCAGCATGTCCCACAGCTCGAGAACCCATTTGTAGACTGCACATCAACTGAGAGTTGCAGAGGTCGGCTAAACCCTAAAGTAAACCCCAAAAAGTTGGAAACCGGATTAAGAACATTTAGTGCTGGGATTCCGTGCAAATTACTCTTATACTGAGGCTATTGGGTTTCCAACTTTTCGGCTTCTACTATAAAGATATAGAGAAAATGAAGGTTTTCCTGGCAAAAACTCTAGAAAATAAAAGTTTTTCGTATTCAACTATAGTCATAGAAAAAAATGGTTTTCCGGAAAAAAATCGGACAAGAGCCAAACCCTCAAAACAATCCCACCCCAAAAACCTCCCCAAATCTTATCCTTGTTCAACCTCTATCTCCACTCTAGACTAGCCCAAGCACCGAATCCCCGAGCACTTTTCTGACCGAGCGCAAGAAAAACCCGTTGAGCGATCTTGCCGACATACTTTGGGAAGGCCTTCGACGCTCACAGCTTCCGACGCTTCCTGGATTCTTGTCTTTTCAGCAGGTCCACAGCCCCAGCATGGCCAAACTTGGAGGCCAGGTCGAGGGCTGTAAATTCGAACCGGTTCCTGACATCACTGTTGACGCGTGCCTTCAGCAGTAAATCCACAAGCTCCGTGTGGCCGCTCCGGCACGCCCGGTGGAGGGCCGTGTTGCCGCGCAGGTCCTGCACATCCTTGCTAGCACCTGCTTGCAGCAACATGCCCGCAATCTCAATGTCGCATGGTTCACCATGGCGGGCTGCGTAGTGCAGGGGGTCATGCCGAATTCATCCAGCACGTCCTGGTCGGCACCAGCTTTCAGGAGCCAGGCCACGGTCCCAGTGAGGCCGTTCTCGGATGACAAGTGAAGGGCAGTTTTCCCTTCCGAGTCCTGGGCATCTCGCCATGACAAGATTTGAGTGCTTCGTGAAGGGCACTCCCTCCGGACCAGTTTAAAACAGCATCCACATCGGCACGAGATTTCAGCAGCAAATCCACGATCCCAGCGTGGCCTTCTCTGGATGCCTCTTGCAGGAACAGGCGTGCAGGTAAACCAGCTTCTAGTAAGAACCGGGCAACATCAAGGCGGCCAGCCCCGATTGCGTCATATGTGAACTCGTTTGCAGCTGCCAACAGGTTTGCATTGCCATCAACTGCTTTTAAAACCAGCTGCAGTTCCATGGTCTCCTCCAGCTTGGTGGCGGCCTGCAAGAAACTGTTCGCTTGCAGTACTTCTTGAAGGCAAACTGGGAACCCATGCTTCGCACGTAGGTAATCCTTCAAGGTCCCCACATTCGGGTCATCAGGCCAACTCTCCCCGGCCATGTACTCTCTTAGCTCATCCGTTGTTACGGACAACTCCTCTCCGGAAGCCCGCCAGATTCTGACCATGACAGAGCGCGGTGGACAAGACCAAGAACAAGTCCTAGCCTAGGCGCACACCCGACTAGCAACCCGAATCCCTAAACCATATGAGCCCTAAACCCCTCAACCCAAACCCTCGAGGCCCTCCACCCTAAACCATAAAACCTAAATCCTATCAGTCTTACGGCCTAAACCGCAAAACCTACTCTGCGAGCGATGCGCTCGTTTGCAAGCCCGAACTACTCGGTCTGTGGGGTTTAGGTATCTGGTTTAGGGTTTGGGGGTTGGGGCTTGTTGTTTGGGGTTGGGTTTAGCCTTTAGCGTGGCATTTACTACTCCTTACGACTCGGCTTTTGGGACATCGGCAGTTTGGGGTTTGGGGAGGGTACGTGATTCTAGCTTATGGTTTGAGAGTTTAGAATTTACGGCCTTCGTACACCCACAGCTCAAAGCGCTTGAATCTGGCAGCCGCGTGCCCAAACTTGGCAACGAAAGGATTTCAGGTTCAGGGTTTTCGGTTTTAGGGTTTTAGTGTTTACGGTTTAATGTTTGGGGGTTAGGGCTAAGGGATTATACATTGTCAGCACTAGGTTCAGCGCTACGACCCAGAAGAAGCGCCTGAGAGGGGAGCTACACAGTTGGCTTGCCTTGTGGGTTGGCGAGGCTGGATTTAGGGTTTAGGGTTTAGGGTTTAGGGTTTAGGGTTTAGGGTTGGATTTAGGGTTTAGGGTTTCTGCTTCCTACTGGAGGGGACTTTGTGAGCGGTTGCCCTTGCAGGGTTGGTTTCAGGCGAACATCTCAAGGAACCTTACTGTGGTTTTTCATCCCATTATACAAGAGCTGCCTGAGTTCAACCTGGGAATTATGGATTGCACCTACTGGTTGCATGATGGGGGGGTTATTGTGAACGTGTGCATTCACTATAGCTTTAAGCACGTTCCATCAGCAGCACATGGAGATTCCTTTCTATCAAACAGATAGACAGGTAGTCATGCCCTGCCTTTGCCAATAAGAAAGGCTTGTCACCCTAAAGTTTCGCCGCTCCTTTTAAGACGCATCTCGCATCACTAATCTCGCATGTTACTTAGGCGCACGCAGCACTCTCACCAAACCACAAAAAGGTAGCTCGCACGATCAGCGGGACGGGTTGCGGGTTGGGGGTTGGGGAGGGGCATAGACATAAAGGCACACAGCCATATGTATATGTATATAAGTATATGATAGTATACATATATATATATATATATATATGTGTGTGTGTGTGCGTGCCTGTGTCTGTAGATGCGTCTGTTGTACATATCGATGAATAATTAGGTGTGCGCACATAACATACCTGCATGTTTATGAACACATAAACATAGACATCTGTGTGTATATATATATATATATTTATATATACATATGCATATAACAAAAGTGCAATACAAGACAGTACAATACAATACGTTATATAACCATATAATGCAACATATTGGAATATCCTTCAATAAAAACACTATGATACAATAACATCAAGTGAATCGAGTGCAACTGTAATCGAAGCAGTAGACAGATGAAACACAACATCATATAGCACATACAATGTACGCAGTATAAGGGAAAGTGCATGGCATAGTTTGCCCTAAGGCGTAGGAGTCCTACTAATGTAGGGGCCTTAATAACGAGAAATAGGGTTTGGGGTATATTATACTATAATTATAAGAAGGACCCCCCCCCAAA